AGAGAGCGTCAGGGCCCCGTCCCCTGAGGGGGGATGGATCTGGATTTGTGGGATTCTCCACATGACCTGTCCCCTACACTTTGTGCTCCAGCCACGGCCACATGGAGGTGGTTGTGGGTGCTCACCGCCATGGGCCTGGGAGCAGCGTGAAGGGTCCTCCGAGGGGGGTCTGGGGACACGGAGAGGAGCCACGAGGGCCATCTTGGCAGTTGCCTGGACTAGAAGTGCCCAACAGGAGGCAGGGACCAGCACAGGGCAGAGGTTTCAGAGAGCATAAACAGCCCCAGTGACAGGAGTGACCCACACCAATTGACAATAAGGTAGCGAATGAATTGACCTTGAAGATCTTCCAGGTCCAGTATCACAAATCCCTATATCACATGTAAGTCTGCATGCTGTCTGTCTCCTTTTCACAAATTGATCTCCCCCCATCCGTGACTCACAGATGTCCAGCTCACAAGCACGCTCCGGTCTCCGCTCTACCTGGGCCAAGGGGACGGTTGTCCAGCTGTGCACCATTTGCACGCTGTCATCCCGAAAGAAGTCCGAGCATATGGAGCTTGGGGGAAGACATGTGCCTCAGATTGGCCAAGTCCGAGATGCCGACAAAACATTACAGAAGCTTTTGGATTGAATGAAAAAAGCTTCTATTCTTTTTGCTGTCAGACTGCAAAACCGACAGCTGCACACGATCAGGCACCAACATGCAGGGAGCCCCTCCCCTGTTTGCACAGGAAGCTCGGGCGGGCTCTGTCTTTCTCTAGAATCACACCGCCAAGCCAGCCAAGGTCTCCACTCTGGCCCTGACCCATGGCTGGCTTTCCCTTGATTTCTGAGTTCGGCCGGCTTCCTGGGTCATCTCCGCAGCAAAGGCAACACTGCCATGTGCAGGCCTGAGCTTGCCTTCTCGCTGGCCTTTAGCCAGACATGGTCAAAGTTCCAGGATGTCCCGTGACAGGGCAGAGGCCTCAGGGGATGGCACTCGTGGGTCGACTGGTTTCCTCACATCCCAGGCCTCTCCCTCCATCTCTCTTCCACTTTCCAGTGTGCCCCCCATGTTCACCCCTTGTTCTCTATTAGTAAACTCCCAAGTCTTTAGACACTTCTTCCTCTGGGAAGCCCCACTAACCACCCGGGCAGAATTCAGTGCTTCTATCACTACACTTGCCCACAGTTTCATTTCCCTGTGGATTGTAGTTGTTTACTTGTTCTCCTCACTTACCAGATAGCAAATCCTTGGGGAAGAGAAGCCATAGCTTATCAATCCCTGAGTCTTGTGTAATTTGGGTGTAATAAGTATTTTTCCTTATATCACTTACAAATTCATTTTAAAAGTAATATTTCATAGGAGCATCTGGGTGGCTCATTCAGTCAAGTGTCTGACTCTTGAGCTCAGCTCAAGTCTCAATCTCAGGGTCGTGAGTTCAAGCCCTGTGTTGAGCTCCACACTGAGCGTGGAGCCTATTTAATTAAAAAAAAAAAAAAAAGAAAGAAAGAAAAAGAGAGAGGGAAACAAGCCATAAGTGACTCTTAATGACAGAGAACAAACTGGGGGTTGATGAAGGAGGATGGGTGGGGGATGGGCCAGAAGGGTGATGGGCATTAAGGGGGCACTGGTGATGAGCACTGGGTGTTGTATGTGGGTGATGAATCACTGGATTCTACTCCAGAAACCAATATTGCCCTGTATGTTAATTAACAAAATTTGAATTAAAAAAAAAAACAAAACAGTAATACTGTATAAATGGAGAGCCGAACTATAGCAATATCTGGTTTTCAAAAGAGATCACAAGCTATCCAAGTAAAAAATTCTCATAAAGTTGCTTCTGGAAAGATAAATTTCTTTTTAAAAAAGTTATGGTAAAATATACAAAAATTTACCACTTCAAATAACCATTTTAGAGGATACAATTCAGTGGCATTAAGTATATTCACACTACCACCCACCTCCAGAACGTTCTCATCTTTACCAACTGAAACTCCGTACCCAGTAAACACTAACTCCCCATTCCCCATTTCCCTCAGCCCCGGCAACCACCATATTACTTTCTGCCTCTATGAACTTGATACTCTAGGTATCTCATACAAGTGAATCGTACAATATTTGTCCTTTTATCAGTGTCTTATTTCACTTAGCATAATGTCCTCAAGATTCATCATGTGCATGTGCCAGAATTTCCCTCCTTTGAAGGTTGAATAATATTTCATCATATGTACATGCCACATTTTATTTATTCACTCACCCACTGATAGACCTTTGGGCTGCTTTCATCTCTGCGCTACTGTGAATAAAGCTGCTATAAACACGACCTCTTTGAGACACTGCTTTCGCTTCTTCTGGGTGTAAATCCAGAAGTGGAATTGCTGGATCCTATGGTACTTCTATGTTAATGTTTGGACGAGCCTCCATACTGTCTTCCACAGCGGCTGCACCAGTTTGCATCCCCTGCAACAACCAAGAATTCTAATTTCTCTGTATCCTTGACAACACTTACTATTCTCTGTTTTTCTTTCTTTTTTCATAGTAACCATCCTAATGGGCATGAGGTAGTATCTCCTTGTGGTTTTGATTTACAGTTCCCTATTGGTCACTAAAGTTGAGCAAAAATAAATGTTTTTAATATGTTTTTTCAGCTTGGGGGACCTGGGTGACTCGGTTGGGTGTCCCAACTCTTGATTTCAGCTCAGGTCATGTCGGGGTCATGGGATCAAGCTCTACATCGGGCTCTGTGCTCAGCAGGGAGTTTGCTTCAGATTCTCTCTCCCTCTCTTTCTGCCCCTCCCCCTACTCTCTAAATAAATAATAAAACCTTCAAAAAATATGTCTTTTCAGCTTGTTAAAGCAATATAGCATGTACTATAGAAAATTTCAAAAATACAGAAACAAAAATTACAGAAAAGTACAGGAATACGCAGGGGGGAAAAAAACTTATGTGTAATCCAGTTACCTACAGATAAACACCGTCAACATTTTGGGACTATCCCTCCAGTCTCTTTGTCTACAGAAGTGCATTTTTATGGCACAAATTCATCTTATTTAGCAGCTCCCCACCCAGCAGACGCACCTCAGGAAGAAAACTTTCTTTGTTCAGTGAATTATTTGCTAAGTTCCTGGAAGGGTATGCTGGAGGAAAAATGTGTATCATTGGTTTTGAGTTGATTACCAGGTTTTTGTTTTGCTGAGATGGCATATAACAAAGGGCAGGAGGCAGAGTGTTCGGGCACAGGTCAGTTGGTGATGTGGAAGGGAAGCATGTGGACAGTGAAGACGGACCACTGACACAGGGTGAGAATTTTGGAGGAAAGAACAGGTGTCCATAGAGGAATTTGGTTACATTTTTGTCTCCATACAAAATTTACAATAAAATCTGTATTGCTCACCAGAAGGTGGTGGAGTATATTTGCAAACGCGGTCATCATGAAGGTGCCAGAAGGGGAGCATGGCTGCAGAAGAACAAGAACAAATGTTAAAATAGAAGGAGACATAGCTTATATACTTATAGACACGGGCATTTGGAAACTTGGACTGATATTATGCACACTGTTCTTGAGCTTTTTCCCATGTAATTTAATAACCTTCTAGAACATTCTTTCTGGGCAAGACTGTGAACTAGTTATCAAAAATCTACTTTTTCTTCCTGGCCCCCTTTGCAGTGAGATGTGGTCAGGTGACTGAGTTTGAGCCAAAGGAGAGTGGAAATAGTTTGTACCATTTCTGGGCCAAAGTTTTTAGGAAGGAGAGGTGCCCCTTCATCCTCCTTCCTCTTCTGCCAGCTTGATGAAGATAATGAGCCCTAGGAGATGGGGGAGCCAAAAGGTGGAAGGAACCTGGTTTCCTGAAAAACTAGTGGAACCAAGTGGGAGAGCCAACTGCTGACCAGAAACACTTGCTTCAGATTGTCATGAGAGTGAAAAATACATTTTTATTTATAACAGCATAGTCTGTCCTACCTCATATGCCATCAGTAAATGCAACTTAATTACCCGATATGCTATTGTTAGACAGTTGGAATGGATAAACTGCATTTTGAGATGTAAAATTGTGTTTCAGTTCAACTGCCCAGTTGTTGGGTGTAGCAGATAAAATGCTTTTGGCTACAAGTAACAGAAAACCGAATTAAAACTCATAAACAAGGAGGGACTTATTGGCTAACTGGGAGTCCAAAGGTACAGTGAAAGACTGTGATTGCTACCATGACATGAGGACTCTCTTTCTTCCTACCTCCCTTCTCTTTCACACCCAGTGTGGGTTGCTTCCTAGGGCTAACTCTCTGGTAACTGTAGGAGGCCTGGCAGCAGCGAGGTCCACATGCTGCCTTATTCCTATGAAACAGGAAAGATGGTTTCCCACAGTCAACTAATAGCAGCTCAAAGCTTTGTGCTGACTGGCTCATCCCTGAACCAAACTCTGTGACCACCACAATGGGACTGCCCGTGGTCTAGACTGATCAGGGCTATACGCTGGAGCTGAAGGTAGGCTTGGGCCCAGCCATACCACATAGCTGTCACCAACAGTGCTTATTTCTATATAGGGACAGAGAGCCTGGATTGCTCAGATACAGAGAAGAAAGTCGCCTGATTCTAGCTTTCTCTGAAACAGACTAAAGCTCCTTTGGAGACACTAAATAAAAATCAGGTAATTTCCCCCTTATATGCATTGAAATATGTCTTTGACAAAATTACTTTCTGCAAAAAAGACAAGAAGATTGAAACCATGAAAGAGGTTGATGATTTAAAGGCAAGGACACAGAGTCAACAACCAGGGGAAAATTAAATGACTTGGAAATAAAGTCCAGATAGCTCAGAAAGAATATTTTATAGGAGGCACTTTTATGGTGGGATGGCACAAAGTAGAAGGAAAGAGGACAGTGGCATATCCCGACATCGTGTGCAGGATATTTAAGTTCAAACTTGTTTCTCAGTCTGTTCCCTCTCTGTTATTGGAATACTTTGCTCACTTATCAAGCAAATTAAGCATGACTGTCAAGGACACGGTATCTATGCTAAGTTCAGGCTACATATGCTGATCTTGGCTCTTCCTCCAGACAGTGTAAATTCTTTTTCCTGGACATCATACCATGTTCTAGAAATAAAAGAGAGGTAGTTAGGTGAACGCTTTTTTGCCCTGGTCTGTATTACTCGTCCTCTAAGACAGGAATTAGAATGTTTCACTTATTGGTTCAGAGAGGAACTGGGCCAATTATTTTAACGCACACAAAAAATAATTCTTTTCAGCCCAGACGCTCTTTGATTGACTTAAAACCCCTGCGTGTAAAATCTGCACAAACAAAAGAAATGTGAAAAGATCTGCTATAATAAGATTAAGTTCAAATGACAAGGCAGGTGTTGAATTTAAAATTAATTGGTAATGCCAACCCCCAAAATGGTCTAATTCACCTTCTCTGTTGCTTTATAGGGAGAACACAAGCAAGAGAGCCTGTTTTTCTGCCCTAAATCCTTTCCAATCTTTCTAGTGCAATCCTTAGAATCCAGCTCAATTTCCACTCCTTCCCTGGACTCTTCCTGGACTACCCCAACCCTTGTCTTCAGACTGTTTGGCACTCACTGAAACGGTACCAAAGAATAGGGGTTAAAATCTCAGACTATGATGTCAGACCTGCATCAACGTAGATCCTCAGTCTGCTCCTGGGACCTGGGGCTCTGCCACTCTGAAAAATGACTGCGAGGATAAAATGAAGTCATGCTTGATGAGAAGCAGTCAATAAATGTCAGCTATTATTAATATGCTAATATTTTATGGAGAGTCTCCTCCCCCTGGCCTGGAGTAACACAACATTGGGCAGATAGTATCTGCTCGACCTATCCCTGTTGCATTGGACAGAAGGGAATTGAAAATGTTTTCCAAAGTGGAGGATGGTTGTAGACTGGGTTGGACAGAAAGGCCAAGGGCTTTTTTTTATATCGAAACACATTTTTTATATCGAAAGGGCAAGGGTCACACCATTCCAAAACGGGCCTGCAGCAACTACTCCATAATGTAGCACGAAGCATCTACCAACTCCAGTGACTGAAAGAAACCCCAGGACCACTGCTATCAGAGAGAGAAGTTAAATAGAGGCTGTGAATGTCAACATACTGTTCAAAAGAGCACTGCAAGTCAGAACTTTCTGTTTGATGGCTGGCCAAACAGAAATTGGGATCTTGCTGGAATTTCACCATGGGCCAAACTCACAAAAATTTTATTTGTTAGATTGTAATGGGTTTGGAGAGGAGAGGTGATGCTTAACATTTTTAAGGGAACAACAGATTTTCAATCACCTAAGAGTCAATAAATAAGCCACTTACAAAGGATCTTTATGTCTTTGTTAATTGAAACAAATCTGTTAGGCCCCAGAGTGAACAATACAAGCTCACCAGCACTTGAACTTGGCATGATGGAAGTTTATTTCTTTCTCAAACACAAAAGTTGATTGCTTATTCATGGCCAGTGGTAAGAGCCTGGACCAGAAAATGATGTAAACCAGCCTCAAAGCTTTGACTGTTTTCCACTAGGCAAGATCTGGGGAAAGTTACCTACTCTCTCCAGGTATCTATTTCCTCATCTGGGAAATGGGAATAATAATTCTCCCTACCTCGAATGGTTGCCATTAAACAAGCCAATTCATGTAAAGAACTCAGCCCAGTATCTGCCATGTAACAACTGTCCAATAAATGCAAGCAATTACAGTAATAATTATTCCACAATTCAGATTTCTTACTATTTTTATTTAGAGCTATCTTCAAGCGCTGTTTAACCACATCTTTGCATGAAATTTGGAGACAGCACTTGGCTGTTTTAAGGAATTTGCATTTTTTTAACCAATAAATCTTCTGACTGTTGCTCTGTGGATATCAAGACAGATGGTGGAGTGACTTACTACAGTTGCATGGCTAGAACCCAGGTCTCCCTGGGGCAGGCAATCTGCCCGGGTCTCCCCCTCAAGAACGCTGAGGAGAAGGGTTGTCACGGACACTGTGTAGGAGACGGCAGAATTAGACCCAAAGGTGAGGGAAATTGATATAATTTACAATTGCTTACTTGAGATATCAGCTCCTCTTCCAAACTGAGATGTTTTCCTACCCTCAGCAAAACACACTTCAATTTCTTCTCTGACTTGAGAAAACTTCTATAAATCAAATAACTACCAAATCATCTATGCCCTTGAACCGAATCCGGGAAACCATGAGTTATGATGTTATACACCTAATACAGCAAGAATGAGCTTAAAGTAATGCTCCTTAGAGACCTTGACAGAATAGGTGCTTTTTGTATGTGTTCTCAGGTGATGTCACTGGGGAGCACCAGGAGTTGTGATAGGGGTCCTGAGCAGCGACGGACTGTGCCTCTCATCTGGGCCCTTGGTGAACAAGGACCCCTCTGTGAGGCCACGCTCCAGGCATTTCTGCTTGTAAAAGGAAGCACAGACACTTGGCCTGCACGAGGACTGGAATTCCCATGTCAGCCTCATTATAAGAAGGCTCTAACTCCGGACAGCCCCCGACGGGCCCTAGTGAGCCACCGAGAACGCAGTGAGCTAGGAAGACGTGGTGCCGCCCGCTGGGAGCTGACGGTCCAGTGGAAAGGACAGCAGCTAAATTATCGGGCAAACCTGAATTAATTACAACTATAATGAGTACCGTGAAGTACAGAGCAGTACTGGATTTTATACTGGGACCTATGGGGGGGTGCGGAGGGAGGGTTAGGCATGAAATTGAAAACACATTTTTTTATATCGAAATAAGCACAGATACATGATGTGGAACACAAACTTTGCTTCCGTTTTAAAGATAAAGCTGGGGACAGCTGAGAAATAACCCATTGCCCCCGGGTGGGACTGGCTGTGTCTCCCCAGGGTTCAGGGATGAGGCTTCAAGTAGCTTGGTGTGGCTGAGCAGGCAGTTTGAGTAGCCCCGGCTGGGGCACAAGGGCTTGGTCTCTGAGGGTGAAGCCCTCTGAAGAAATGAGGAGGACCTACAGGCCGGCTGGGGGCAGCCCATGGCCAGGAGATACCTGGCCCGACTGGCAGCCACCAACTGGCCACAGCTTTCTCAAAACTCTTCATGCAGCTTTCAGACTGTCCTCTCAGACCAGGCTGCCCCTCTTGTTCTAAGTTGTCACCTAATCTTCACTCAGGGTGTGTGTGTGTGTGTGTGTGTGTGTGCGCGCGCGCATGCAAGAGAGAGAGAGAGAAAGAGAGAGAGAGGAAGAGAGAGGGTGAGAGAATGGGGAGGGTTGGGGGAGACGGAGAAGAGGAGAGGAAACACACTTCTGGCTCACTCCCCTTTCCTTCTGTATTCTGTTCATCCCTCTCTTTGGGCAACTGTCAACTCGTCTGCTAGTTCTCTGTTTTCAGTCCATCCCCCTGGACACAGCGGGCTCAAAGGCAGTGGCCAGATAATGTCAGCCATGGATGGACCTTGAGGGCAGTATACTAAGTGAAATAAGTCAGACAAAGAAAGACAAATACTGTATGATCCCACTTGTATGTGGAATCTAAAAAGCTGAACTCACAGAAACAGATTAGAATGGTCGTTGTTAGGGAAAGAAATGGGGAGATGTTGGTCAAAGGGTACAAACTTCCAGTTACCAGAGGAAAAAGTTCTGGGGATCTAATGTACAGCATCATGACTATAGTTAATACTGTGCTGTATACTTGACAGTTGCTGAAAGTAGATCTTAAATGTTCTCACCACACACACACACAAAGAAATTAATTGAGGTGATGGATGTGTTAGCTCCCCTTGCTGTGGTGGTTATTATGCAACACACATACATACATATATATATAAAGTCATCATATTGTACAGCTTAAAGTTACATGTCAATTATAACTCAATAAAGCTAGGGGGAAAACCCCAAAAATCAAAATTAAGAGAGAATGTCCAGATTGGAAGCAAATAGAGACACACCTTACAAGTTGTCTCCCTGACAAGTTTTCCGCAGCAGAATCCCCCTATCTGTGACACTCAGACTTCACTAAGCATACATCTCTCTCCAATACAATGTGCTTTGGACCAAGATTTATATAGAAAATTTTATTTGTACATCCCCTAAATTCAATATAACATTTTAAACAAAGTGGTATGTGTGCGGGATGGGGGGAGTTCTCTAGTTACTTTCCAAATATAATTGGAAGAATATCGAATCACATGCAGATGTTGTGAAAAGCACTCAGTGTCAACAAAGGGATTGAGTCAGATATTGATGATACTCAGGTCACATGACTACACACATGCAAATATCTGTGAAAAGTCATATTCACTCTTTGGTCATCAGGAAGCAACCTTTGGTGCAACTGACATGCTAATTTGTTACACATAGTTCCTGAAACTGACATGCTAATTTGTTACACATATTGACATTGTTCTGTATTTTAGGAAATTGGTTGGTAGTGATGAATTGATAGGAGAGGAGCTGCTGTAACATTTCACTCAGTGTCTGGTTTTTAGGAAAGTTCCTGATGGTACATGAGAAATGCTTGTATTCACAACCAGTAGTACAAAGGATTAATATCGAGAAAATATATCAAATAGCTCATTCAAATGTGAAGGGAAAAACAACCACTAGAGAACGGGTAAAGAGTGGAAATGGACAACTCACAACAGAAAAAAATGTGAAATTAGACAATAAACGCAAGCAATATTCAACCTCACGGATAAAGAAGGAAATGCATTAAATACAATAAAATAATGAACTACCACTTTTAAAGTTTATCATATCAACCAAAAAAAGAAAAAGTTTGATAATATTAAGAGTTGTTGAGGATGTAGGAAATCAGGCTCTTTTACATTGCTGATGGCTGTGTGTGTTGATGAAGGCATTTTTTTTCAGATTTTATTTATCTGAGAGAGACAGAGATAGTGATAGAAATAGAGAGAGCATGAGCTGGGAGGAGAGGGAGAAGCAGGCTCCCCACTGGGCAAGGAGCCCGATTGGGATTTGATCCCAAGAACCCAGGATCATGACCTGAGCCGAAGGCAGATGCTTAACCAACTGAGCCACCCAGGTGTCCTGATGAAGGCATTTTTTAAGGCAAATTGGCAATATCTTTTAAAGCTGTCATGTACACATGCTCTACTTTAACAATTTATTTCTAGAAAACTGTTACTCAGAAATACACGTGTGCACAAATATATGTGTCTGTATGAGGATAATTATCATGGCATTATTTATAGTAGCAAACAATTTTGAAAATATCCAAAACTACACCAACAATGTAAAGATATTACAGCATGAAATGCTGCACAGTTGTTAGAAAGAGCAGGATAGACTTATATGTACTGAAGTGGAAAGGTCCCTGAGACATATGAAGTGAACAGAGAAAGTTGCAGAGCAATATGCATAATATTCCATGTTTATGTATATGCCTCTCCCTATATAAATATAAATAAATAAATGGAGAGAGAGACACACAAATATGTAAGAAAACGGACTGAACTGTTGAGAGCAGTTACCTCTGGGAAAGAAGTCATCCTAGGAGGAGGTGGTGATGTGTTCTCATTCACTAAACGTTTCAGTTTCTTTCCTGTGTCACGCTCTTCTCTGTAGGAGGATATATCCCCATGCTGTTGACCTTAGGAATGGCTATATGACTTGCTTTAGTCAGAGAAGTGATGTTGGTCACTTTTGTGCTGAGTTCTGGAAGTCAGGGCACCATTTGCCTTGTCCTTTTCTTTCTGCCACGAGATTGACAATGCTCCAGATAGTTAGGTTTTTCCATCAGCTTTGGTTGTGGAGTGAAGAAGGCAAGAAACACCGCTGTAGGGGACTCAGAGAAAACATGCAGTGTGAATAAGAAATATGCACTTGTGGCTACAGGCCACTGAGATTTGGGGATGTTTGTTACTATAGTATAACGTGACCTATTCTGACTGATACAAAAAGAGGAAGACTTCTACAGGTTTTTCTCTGTGTGTTTCTCTATTGCCTGAGCATTAAATATGTGTATGTGTACATATATTCATGTATTACTTGTATAATAAACTAGTTTTAAAAAATTGACATCTTCGCAAAATGACTTACAAGTGACTGCATGTCAAGGACCTATGGGATTGTTGACAAATAAAAATTGCGAAGTTCAATCCTAGGATTCCAAGGGCAATGTTGAAGTGCCTGCCTGAGACCGGCAGGCTGATACACCATGGCTACAGGCTACAGTGCTGTGAAAACGTGGTAGTTAGTTGGACATGTAAGAATTCTTCTTGTGTACTGTAGTGGGGGAGATCAGGGCAGGAAACAGCTACCCACTCAACCACAGGGTCAAAGGCATCCCAATAAACGGTGAGACCACAGTGATTGCTTTTTTTTTTTTTTAAGATTGATTTACTTAAGAGAATGAGAAAGAGAGAGTGCATGAGTGGAGGGAGGGGCAGAGGGAGAGGGAGAGAATCTCAAGCCGACTCCATGCTGAGCACAGAGTTCAGTTGCAGGGTTCAACTGCAGGACCCTAAGACCATGACCTGAGCTGAAATCAAGAGTTGGCCACTTAACCAACTGAGCCGCTCAGGCGCCGCACAGTGGTTGCTTTTATAGCTATTGAAAGACACTGTTCTTCAGCAGTAAAGAGAGAGTGACAATTATTGCTGATTCACAGGTGTCTGAATATGTCTGTTTCTTTGGATGTATCCTGAACACAAAGAATCTGACAACACTGATCCAGAAATTATAAGTCATTGCATTGCATGCTTATTTCCTAGTGGCTGCTGCCCCTTTCCAGACTCTCCACACTCACTCAGAGACTGAGCCCCTCCTCTCAGTAGGTACTCTAATTGCAGTCAGCAGTATGGGTACCATCTTTGTTCGCAAACTCACAGCCATGCTGAGGCAGATCCGTGACAAATCTACACCCAGAGGCAGGGCTAACAATAACAGCAGTAGTAACTCTTTCTCAAGGGAGTGGTAGTTTCCAAGCACGGTGCCCCGTATACAATTTCTAAGTCTCAAAAAAGATCCTGCAAGCCAAGTGTAACTATCCCTACTTTTTCAGATGAGAAAATGGAAGTTGAGAGAAATTAAGGAACCCTCTTCAGTTCTGACACGCAGTAGATAGGGGTCAGTTTCAAGGTCTTCTTGTTGTCTACAGCAAGTCACCTCCTCTTAAAGGGAGTTATTAATAATAGCTCAGGGCAGGGGGTGGCTAAGCTTCGAATCCGAGCTTTAACATTCAGAGTACCGTGCAGAGATCCAGCCTCTTGTTTCTGCTGTCCTCAGAGAGTGAGGCAGTACCCTGGTTAGTGGCCAGCCCAGCAATCTGACTTAGGTTAGTTATGGTTAGCATTCCTCCCATTTCTGCCTGTACCGCCTCCTTCTAGTGCTGGAAGTAAACATCTTGTTTGCTTGAGGCATGAGGGTGGGGGTGAGGGAAGTCTTCACAATAGCTCTGCTGTTGTGCAAAGGATTCTGGAAGAGGCAGATCTAGTTGTGGTGACACCGGGGACTCCAAGGTCCAACTCCTCAAGTCCCTTCTGTGACTGAGGTTAGGGAATTGGTCACAGCTATTTGCCCTCAGCTCAGTACCCTGTTTAACATTCTTCCTGGTTAAGCACTCAGCACAGAGAAATGCCCTAAGAAATCTAACTCAGGTCTGTTCTCAGTTACTTAAGGAAGTTTAACCTGAATGAGGATATGGCAAGGCTCCCAGTCCCAAAACTGCTTTCACATGGGGCTCGTTTTCCCACTCAGCAGGAGAGTAGAGAACAGTAAGTGGAGAAGGTTTCACCAGAAGAGCCTAAAAGAGCCTGAAAGCCCGAACAAGAGGCCTTGGGGATGGTCTCCTTTCCTGGGCTCAGCTCTGGGGCTGAGGGTGCTGGGCTCAGTTGCCCTTGTGTGCACAATTCGACAAGGTCCCCCGAGCACCCAGAATAGAGCCAGGAGCTGCTTAGCCAGATGAGAGAAATTCTAGACAACCTACAGGATGGCAAGTCAGATTCCGGTGAGTGGCTCAGCTCCAGACTGTGCATGGAAGTAAGGAAAAAAGACTTGGCCCTGGGGTCAAGCACAGTGCTGAAAGGAGAATAGGAACTAAGTGTTGAATGAATAAAAACACAAACAAGGTGTACAGGGAAGGACATGTGCATTGGAAAACTCTATATACTGGATGTTTTCACAGTCTTTGGAGGGCCTGCTTTCTAGAAGGCTCATACTGAGGTAAATTCATGTGACCTTTGGTATTGTCTTAGTCAGTTCAGACTGCTATAACAAAATACCACAGTCTGACAGATTTCTCACAGTTCTGGAGGTTGGAGTCCAAGATCAAGGTGTGGGCTAGGTCAGTTCCTTATGAGAGCCCTCTTCCTGACTTACAGCTGGCCGCCTTCTCCCTGTGCCTTCATATGATGGAGGTAAAGGGCTCTGGCCTCTCCACCTCTTCTTATAAGGATGTCAGTCCCACTGTGGGAGCCTCACCCTCATGACCTTATGTAAACCTAATCACCTCCTGAAGGACCCCTCTTCCAAATACCATCACAATGCAGGTTAGCCATTCTCGTGGGACATAAACATTCAGTCCCTAACAGTAGTGTATTAAGATTACATGTTTGGGGGACCTGCTTTTTACAGAAGTTTGATCACTGAGGTCGACAGAATTCTAAGACAGCCCCCAAGATTCTTGCCCCCACAGTGTGCATGTCCTGTATAATCTCTTTCCTGGAGATGGGTGGGCCTGACCTAATCAGTTGAGCTCCTTAAAAGAGAGTCTAGAGGTCCCAGATGGAAGAAGGCAGAGAGACTGGAAGCATGAGAGAGATTTTGCTGGGGCCTTGAAGGAACTAACAGCTATGTTGTGAGAGAGCCTGTGGAAGGGGACATATGGTGAGATGTGGGAGGCTTCTAGGTCCTGAGGGCAGTGCCCAGAGATAGCCAACAAAAAAATGGGAACCTCAGTCCTACAACCAAAGGCAACTAAATTCTGCCCAAAGCTATGTGAGTGCAGAAGAGGACCCCATGCTTCAGATGTGGTTCCTCCCAGCTGACACCTGGATTTCAGCCTCCTGAGACCCGGAGCAGAGAACACAGCCACACCATGACAGGGTTTCTGATCAACAGACCTGAATGATCATAAATCTGCACTGTCTCAAACCAATAAAGTTTACTGTAATTTGTTACACAGCATAGAAAACTAATACAATCTCCTTTCTGCAACAGATCAGTCCAGACCTCTGGGTCCCTTTGTCTTCTTAAAAACAGCTTCTATTTGGTTGTTCATTACATTTCCCCCTTATATGAATAAACCACTTTCTTTCCATTTTCTTTTTCTTTTCTACCGGTTCCTTCGGGAATTTACATAGTAATTAAGATCCGCTGTGCACACGCTGTTATTTTTAACACTATTTAACACAGAAAGCTCTATTACGTCCTTCCTAACCTCTACAAAGCATTTCCAGGGCATGCATCACTGTGAGGCTGTTGTCTTCCTCCTTCTCAACAATTGTTGGGGGCCCCCAAAGATGAACATTGTGTTTATTACGTTAACAGCGAGACAGAAGCCCAAACAACCTGCTGCTGGGCTTTTAAATATAGCAGCAGTCTCTTCTGGGCTTGATGAAGAGCCACTTCAAATGTCTCCTAATTTCAGCAAGTTTCTGGTCTATAGAATAAAAAGTCTAAAAATGGCTCTGAACATATTTAAGTGCACTCGCAGGACACCCCCCCCCCCCCAGCCACGCTGCCGCACGCGGGCAAGCGGGCCCTCGGGGCTCTTGGGCTTTGCAGGCAGCCTCTCAAGGACTGTTGCCCGGGTGTGAGATGCTGTCAGGGGAGAAAATGGGGAAGGCACGGATGTGGAGCCTTTCCAGGCCGGCACCACAGTCACGTGACGCAGTGGCAGCGTCCTCCCTCCCTCGGTTCCCTGTTCTCATTGGCCGGACCATTAGCGGTTGTATTCTTTTTTTTTTTTAATTTATTTATTTGACAGAGAGAGAGATAGCGAGAGAGGGAACACAAGCCGGGGGAGTGGGAGAGGGAGAAGCAGGCTTCCCGTGGAGCAGGGAGCCCGATGCGGGCCTCGATCCCAGGACCCCGGGATCATGACCTGAGCCACAGGCAGACGCTTAACGACTGAGCCACCCAGGCGCCCTAGCGGTTGTATTCTTACAGAGGACTCCTCGCTGCATTTGAGAACCCACTCGATCTGGAGGCAATGTCCCGGCTTGGGCAATCCACTGAGTAAAGTCTGTGCGGCTTCCTTGGACCACCCCAGGTCGGTTTTATTCTCAGGCCCCAACTCCCCGCTTCAGTGCCTCTCACCTTCCCCTTCACCCCGGATCTCTGGGTTTAGCCCGCGGGAAAAGAGTGCCTCTTTCCTCACTTCCAGCCACCTCCTGGGCTGACTGGCTGGGCTCCTCTCAAATCCACAGTGTGGCCGGGGAGATGGACCCCACCGTTTGGCCAGTCCACTTCTAGAGCAGGAGGATGAGGACACAAGTGCTGCGAGTGGGGGAAGGGCGCGTCCCCGGCAGAAAATCAGCGTGCTGTTACCAGAAGAGGGTGGAATGGATGCTGAGTGGGCCAGAAGAGGGTGGAATGGATGCTAGAATAGGGCACCTGAGGCCCTCTAGCCACCTGCCCTATTCTAAAGCAGGATAGGGTTGGGGACACTTCCGGCCTGGAGAGGCAATCGGGACCAAAGGATCTCTGCCCCCTCTATGCTTCCACTGAGCCACCCAGAATCCTACGCGTTTATCCGTCCATGTATATGCACCTCACCCAGCTCACCAGCCCACAAGTAGG